CCCTCCTCCCCTCCCCTCCCTCCCCTTCTCCCTCCCTCCCTCCTTCTCCCCGTCCCTTCCTCCCTCCTTCTCTCCCTCCCTTCCATCCCTCTCACCCTCTCCTTTCAAGGTTGCCTAGGCTGGCTCCCTCTGTTTCAGCCTGGCCAGCCTTACCAAGCCTTTTCCCCTGCTGCACTTGGGGCCCAGTAAGGCCTGGATGCCTCTGCTTTGCCCCCTCCCCGGGTTGCTCTCCCTTTTCCCTCCTCGGGAGTTTCCTGCTATCTCCAGGAGAGTCTCTGTGGGGCAGTGGCTGCACATCCTGGGCCTTTGGGAACTGCCCAGCAGTGGGTGAGGGGCACCCCTGGCAGCACCTGGGTCAGCCAGGCCATTGGCAGGGTGGGCCCTGGGCACTGGCCCCAGGGGAAGGGGGCCTGGCAAGACCCTGCGAGGGCCATGGGGCAGCGAGGACACCTCCCTAACCCTCGGTTCCCTCTCTGTAAAATGAGAGGTTTGGCCTCGCTGGTCTCTAAGCACCCTACAGGCTGTACATCTATGAGCCTGTGGGGGCGGGGGCGGGGGCAGGCGGCTTGCCGCTGGTCCTGCAGTCAGTCTGTGGCCATTTGGGGATCCCAATCAGGGCTCTGGGCTTCCGAGGTCTATTCTGAACTGGACAGCACCCCAGCCACAGAATTTCAGTGTTGGACGAGGACTCAGAGATGTTTAATCCAGCCCCATTTCCCCCCCAGAGGAAGGGCTTCAGCTTACCCATAGAATGGGCCTCCAGCCTCCATGTGAAGGCCTCCAGTGACAGGCAGCCCACTCCTTTGGGAGAGAGAGGCCTCACGCTCAGGCACCAGACAGGAAGCACTCCTTGGCACTTTTTGCTTGTAATAGACAACGCGTCCCTGGGCCTGCTGGTTATTCTCTGAATGAAAGTGAAAAATCCAATCTCCCACCTCCATGCCTTTGCACAAGCATCATCCCCCAAGTCTGGAATGCACTCACTCCTCCCCTTCACCTCCTTAGGTCCCACAGCTCAGGGGCTGCCTCCTGCAGGTGGCCTTTCCTGATCTCCTGCCCTTGTTAGTGGTCTCTCCCTCTTAAAATTCCTCTGGATGTACATTGCATTTCCTTCTATCCACGGAACGAATTAAGCCCCCAGCGTGTTCCATGCACTGGGCTAAGTGCTGGGGACAAAGAAAGGCAGAACCAGAACCGGGCCTGTCCTAAGGGAGCAGGGCTGGGGCTTTGATTTGGTCTCCCCAGCACCCTGCACCTTCCCTGGCACACAGTGCTTAGCACATAGTAGGTGCTTAATAGCCGAGGCCTTGCTGCTGAGCTGACTGGAGAGGTGAGCTGCCCAATCCCAGGACACCCCAGTGTGACCTCTCCTTGCCCTGCCCTGGGCTGCCACCACCAGGGCCCCAGAGCCTTCCCTTCACCCCTGCTGTGTCCCTGCTGGGGGCCAGGGTGGTGCGGGGTTGGGTCACCCACATATAATAACATAGCAATGATAGAGTGCTTTATGGTTTGCAAAGTACTCTATTTCATTTTATCCTCATAACCCTGAGAAGTGGGTACTTTTGTTATCCCCATGTTATAGGTGAGGAAACCAAGGCAGTCAGAGGTGAAGTGACTTACCTAGGGTCACACACCCAGTAAATATACAAAGCCGGATTTGAACCTGTGTCTACCTGACTCCAGGTCCAGCACTCTCCTCACTCACTGACCTACCTAGCTGCCCCGAAGTGACTCTAATTCCCTTGTTGGGCCCCAGCCCGTCCCCGACCTCCCAGCAGCAGGTGGGCACTAAAATTCCTAGTTATGGCTCTTGCCGTCGCATCCGTAGAAAGAGCGAAGCCCCTGGGTTCACTGGGGCCGCTGGGGCTGGGGCAGACGGCAGGACCCAAGTGGGGGAGCTTGGTGGGGGGGCCAGGGGCTGAGTCCTTGTCATTCTTGAACCCCTCACCACACAGCCTGCTGGTGGCCCCCCTTCCCTCTGCTCTGTTTGCGGTCATGGACACACTCCGGGAAGCCTCCTATGGGCAGGGCCAGGCTAATGCCCCAGGGCTTAAGAAATGCTTGTTCTGTGAAATGAGGCCGCTGGCCTCGGGCGCCTCGGGTGCCTTCCGCCTCTAGATCCAAGCACCTCAGGGTGATCCCCGAGCAGAAGAGCCTCGGGACATTTGTCCAGGAGGAAGATTGCCAGGCAGTCTTGAGTGGGATGGAGCAAATTAGGGAAACTGAGGCATGGGGTCAGTGAGTCAGCGGTTAAGGTGGGCCTGGCTGGAGGTCAGCTCCATGGCTTTGGAACAGAGAGGACGAGATGAACTGGAGAGAGATCGGGACGGATGGAACCGGGGGGACCTGGGCCATGACTGGAGGTGGGGGGTTAGGGGGGAAGAGGAGGTGGTTTGAAAGTCAGCCTTTAGAGGACTTTAGAGCCCAGTGACCTTTCCTTATAGGACATGGGGCTCCCCTAATACAACCCCGTTGGACAACGGACTCCGTGAGGCTTCATAGGTGCTCCCAAAATGCTAATTGACTGACTGGCTCTTAGAACAGGGGATGTCAGGGCTAGGATGTTAGGGCTGGGAGGGGCCTTAGAACAGGGGAAGGCAGGGAGGGGCCTGAGAACAGGGAATTTCAGGGCTGGGAAAGAACAGAGAATGGAAGGGATCTCTTAAGTGTGTGCCCATGGGCAAGCCAGTTCACTCTTCTGATCCTCAGTTTCCCCATCTGTAAGACTCTTCCCCCGGGGGGTGGGGATTGTAGGGAAGCCCTCTGGAGCCTTTGGGTGCTGGGGCTGCTCGGGTGCTCTGGGGCCCCCCTCATCAATAACTTGCTGCTGGGATGTGGTCCCCAGTACAATTGCTGTTTTTCTTCTCTCTGGGGCAGGCTGGGGACAGGCTGCCATCAGGGGAGGAGGCTAAAGTCCTAACTAGAATTTTGCCTTCAATTCAGGTTGGCAGGCGACGGAGCCCCCTCCTGGCAGCAATGACGGAGCCATCTGGGGGACCCGTGCGGGATGCACTGGGTCCCTGATGAGGGGCCTGGCCGCCTCTGGGCACCCCCACCATGGCCTAACCTCCAGCCTGGCGTCCTCGGGGCCTCACTCAACATCTCCATCGCCATGGGAGGCTGCTTCTCCAAACCCAAGCCAGGTGCCGTCCCCCCCTCCCCGCCCCCACCCCCTGCAGCTCGTCCTGGAAACAGCAGCTCAAACTAGGTCAGGCCTGTGGCGATCTCCACGGGGAGACGGTTCCAGGAATGTTAATACGGGGCCGCCCGGGCTGAGGCCAGAGACCTCTCAGAGCTGCAGAGACCCCTGCATGCCAACAGCCCCAGCACTGAATGGGGGTCAGCGGCACCGCGGGCAGGGGCCCACAGAGAACAATCTGTGCTGAGCTGGGGGAGGTGAAGCGTATTAGGATTGTTAACATTGCTCTCCTTAGAAAAGTGCCTTCCTCCTGGCAACCTTCTGAGGTACATGGGGAAACATGCCTACCGCCAGTTTACAGATGGGGAAACTGAGTCTCAGGGAATGGTCTGCAGGGCACATAGCCAGCAGACTGTGGAGCCAAGGGCCGCCCTAGTCTGTCCGGGCAGATTGCGAAACGACTGGGACTTTTGGCACAGCTGAGGGGACGAGGGTCTTGGGGTTCAAATCCTGCCTGTGGGCAGGAATGGGGGGATCTCCTCACAGGCAGAGCTTGGCTCATGCTCAGATGGCCTGTTCAGCAAGGTTAGGGAGACAGACTGGCTGAGAGAGCGGGTCCTCCCCACACCCTCCAGTCACCGGCTTTCAGAGGAGCCCTGAGGGCCTGAGACTGGCACAGATGGCCAAGGACTGACCAGAGTTTGGGGGAAATGGCAAAGCCTGTGGGAATGAGCACGTTCTGGGGGGTCAAGAGGAGAGGACGTCAGAGCCTCTCAGGGACGGCAGAGCTGGGAGGGGCCT